AGAGTAAGTCGTATATCCTTATTGATTTATATATCAGCTAAATTTCATATAATAAAAAGCAATTTTATATAATAAAAAGCAGCTTTGTATAATAAGTTAGCAGATTTAATCTAATAAAAGTTAAAAAAAATCGAATTTATCTAAAAATCTAAAAAAAAGTGAATTTATTTAATAAAAAGCAGGTTTATATAAATAGTCACAGATTTTACATATTATATTTAACAATCGCAGATTTTACTTTATATCTCAGGTTTAAACAATTAATGCAACTTTTACTAGCTGGTGACTCAGGTTTCACCCTGTCGTATAATAATAATAATAATATTATTATTATTATAATAAATAGTATTGTTATTATTATTATCACTACTACTGTACTATCAAATTCATATTGAAAAAAATATTGAGACATGTTGAAGAAATTAATTGAAAATATTGTAATAAAATTTATTAAAAACTATCAAGCTTTAGCAAACTTTAAAGTCACGAGTGTTGAGTAGACTATTTTTTATTTAAAGAGAATAAAAAAAAAATAAAAAATAAACAATTTGTATAATAGAATTTAAATTCAATAGCCTTTTAGGTACTATAAGAAGTTATCAATAGACGATGAGGTTTGAGGAATTAAACCTATTAGTTAGTGTTTCGATCTGTAATCTGACAATTCGAATTAATCCGATAATTCAGATTAAATACGGATATTCTAATCTGTTTATTTTAACAGATAGATCCATAATAAATATCAGATTAAGGATAAGGATTATACGGATCCTTATCCTAAATATATATAATTTGAATTGCTGCAAATTCGAATACTACTGTAATTCACCGACAAGTTCACTTCACCGACAGTTTATTTCACTAACAGCTCATTTTGCTAACAAGTTTTTTTTACAAATTACACAACCTTAACTCTAATTCTAACCTGACAATAACCAGAATTACTTTGTGAAATGAGCTATCAGTAAAATAAACTGTTAGCGAAATGAGCTATTAGTGAATTATAGCTGTTTTCATAAATGCTGAAATAGCTAAAAAATTTTCTGATGACTGAATCGATAAGTTACCGAGCTGAAATCAATAAGTTACTGACATCAGCTGACATCAAAAACTTATTGATTCAGTTATAGGCGATGTTTCAAGTGTCTCAGAATTTACAAAAACAGCTGTAATCGAAGATCCAAATTTAATCCGAATAGTCTTTTAAGAATAGGATCAAAACACTACGTATTAGATGTTTAATTACTAGGATTCCCATTATTGAATCCGAATTGAATCCGAATTTGCTAATCCGAATTAAAATTCGAATAAACCAGATATGTTGAAGAGGATCCAAATTTAATCCGAATGGCCCTTTGAAAATAGGATTGAAACACTACTATTAGTCAGTTTGTATAGGCCAGGTTTAGTAATTACTTGATTTTTACAAGGATTGTTAGCTACTAAAACTTAGAAATATCCTAAAATATAATTAGAGAAAGAAGTACTAACAATCAAACTGTCAATAGCTATATGTGATCTTTAAATTCTGAATGATATAAGCTAGTATTTTGCCAAAATATTATTTTTAAAACCAGCTTTCACTTTATATTATTTCAAGAAAGAGAAAGAATTTATTAAGAAAAAAAATAAAAACATAAAACAAACAAGAAAAAGAAATAATTCTAATAATAATATTAAAATAAAAATAAATAAATATGATTTTATTAAAAAAAATTAAAATAGCAAGAGAACTGCTTTTTAGAAAGAAAAAGCTATTCTTTTTATAGCTTTTTAGCCTAATATTTCATTGGTTTTAGAACTACCATGTGTTGTAGCAATATTTTGGACTATTCAAAATGTATATAAGGTCTTGGCAACTTGAAAATCCCAAGTAGAATTGCTTGCAACACCAATAAAGTCCACTAAGCAATACCAAGTTTAATGCTGAGTTAAATTATTTTTAACAATACTTGGCACTGTATTACTCAATAACTTACATATTAACTAAAAATAAAATATATATTATCATGTAGCTTGTGTAATGATCTACAAAACTATTTATAATATTTTGATGTTTAGAAGCCTTCTTGAATGTGTTGTTCTATGACTAACTAAAAATAACTATAATAAAATATAAAAAAACTTAGAAAAGAATATCAAATACTCAAAATAATAATAAAGAATAATAACTAACTAGTATAAACTAATAAAATATAATAATAATAACTATAAAAAAGAAAGAAAAAGAAAATTCTATTACAATATGTATAAACAGTATAAACAATACAAAATATAGTCTATTTATATAGGTTATTAAACACAAAAACAGCCTAAACAAGTTTATTAAACTATTCAGATGAAATAACAAAACTCAAATTTTAAACAATATTACAATAGTAATAGACTCAAAAAATATCATGAATAGCAAAAATAGAAACCACAGATTATTATTGAAATTTAATAAACAAAAAACTTGGAATTTTATTAGCTTAAAATATTTTATTTAATTTATTTTATCAATTTATTTTATTATATTAGATAAATAGTTTTATTAAACTTAAAAACTAAAAACTAAAACATTTATTAAGGAAAAAAAAAGTAAAATAAAATACAGAACAAAAAAGAACTGAAACAACTATCAACTCAACCAAACTAAAACTCAAACTACTCTCTACAATAAATTGCAATGCCTCAACTTCTGATTTTAAATCTTTTATCTCTGTCTTCAAATCTGTTACCTACACTTTAAGCCTATTTTGTTCTTCTCGCAACCTTCCTATTTGCATCTTGTGTTGGTAATTTAGTTATACTAGCTTAGTTAGATCGTGCTTCTGGACTTTGCAACCTGATTTTGCAAACCCCGGATTATAAAAAGATGAACTGGCTATATACAATGTGTAGCATCTAGATTTAATACAGAAAAAGTTAGAAAAAGAATGCTTTTTTCATAATAAATATGCTTAAAAGATGAGAGTATAGAAAAAAGAAAAAAGAAGAGAAAAAGATAGAAGAAAAAGTATCTACTGAGACCACATGGTTAATCATATTTAGTACAAAAGGCCACAAGCTCACTTAGATATAAAAGGTTAGCAGTTGCCTCAAAGAAGTAAAGCCAATAAGATTTAGTATACAACCCGAAAAGTATACCTACTTTTTAATAGAAAACAACAAGCAAAAATCAGGAAGACAAGAAGAAATTATTACTAAAAGAAAAAGAAAAAAAAAGTATTAGACAAGAAAGTTTTTAATATAAAGAAATATAGAAAAGAAAAAAGAACTATATAAGGAAAAAAGATTTGTATATGAAATTTTGCACATGGAAAAACAATAAATAGAATTAAAAACAATAAGATAATTTTCCCAGAACAAAGAAAATTATTGCATGCCTAAAACAAAGAAAATTACAAACAATAATGATTTGATTTACAAATTTAGACAAAGATAAATAAATTAGAAATAGAATTTAATTTTAGATATACAAAATAGAAGTTCAGTGGATTTCACAGAATTTAAGAGAGGAATAGACAAAGAAAATACTTAAACACATACTAAGCCAAGAATTTTTGCCAAGTATGCTAAGCATTGCCAAATAATGTTAAATTGAAATTTTTATACATAGTTGTTCTAAAAAGTAAAACTATATAGTAGATAAAGAAAAATACAAGCAAAAATAGAATTTTGTATATGGTGATAACAAAAAGGATTATAATAAACTCATGACTCTCTGTGAACAAATACTGTAGTTAAAGTACAACAAGTTTAGATTTTACAAGTAAGATCTTAAAAAGAAGAAAATATTACAAAACAGATTATAATACAATATAATATTAGTATAGTATAGTGTAGATTATAGTTTATTATTTATATTATTATTTTTTTATTTATTTTATAAGTTGACAAAAATTAATAGTTCGAAAAACCAGACCGAGCGCCAATCTGCCCCAGACCACATGTGGTGCTAACCACCTGGTACAGATCAGCTAATTTGCGAGCCCCTACTATATACGGGTAACACCAGCTGCCTCAACAAACCAATCAATGAAATGCAGATGCCTCATCGGCTAGTGCCACACAGATCCTGGTAATATTAACAGATGCCACCCAAATTATATATAAATACACTTCACTTAACTCTTACTAGCCTTATCCATAAAGTATCAGAAAACAGTATTTTTAGCAACAAATATGAACGATCAAACAAAAAACTTAGGCAACATGCCATTTAACAATGCAAACACAAATACTAAATTACCTGATATCGATGTGAAAACAAAGGCATATATTGATGCTACATGTCAAGTATCATCCAATACAATCATTAACATCATCAAAGATTACATCGATCAATTAATGAATACACATTTAGATTTAATCAACAAACTAAACGAACATATAGATATATCCATCAACTAACAACAAAGTCATAATCTCCAACCCAACAACGCCAACCAAGACCAAGAACAAACTAGTCTATAGCACAACCATGAATTTTCTCCAACTACCATTTAACAACAAGTTAACTACCACAGCAAAGAAGTCACAACGATAACAACACTAACTACCAAGGTAACTGTCCTCTTACTCCCCTTCTAAACAATCTGTTACTGAACACCAACAATGCCAGCCTACAAAACAAGAACAGCATTGCACCCCACGTCCAAATCAAAGCAATAAATAATATAAAAACCAAAGCAATCACAAGAATATACCCCTCTCGATTACTTAGAATTAAACTACCTGCCGTCCGTCAGTGGCTTTAACAATTCTGCCACGGCACAAATAGAACAAATCTGTATATAGTGGGTCCTCAATTGGTCTGAAGGCCAGAAAATAATCAAAACACTATCAAACAAACCAAGCCTTCGAATGTGCTTATGGAAAACAATTGCCTTTGGCAGTTATGTCGATCTTCATGAATTTGTATACAAAAATCTCAAAGCTTACCTCAAGAATAATGATGATGATCAAACAATTGTGACCAACAAAGGCAACACCATTACCCTTTGTAAATGAAGCCACTACCAAAAATTTAACAACATCGCTGAGTGGCTTTTAGCCTTCAGGTCATATATAGAGGCAGTATTAGTAATATATGAATCAAGAGAAAGCGAGCTAAATGCATATCGCAATTATATTAGCACACTTTGCATCAAACAAGAATTTTCTGCTATTCTGAACTACAATGAAGATTGTAAAGTTCACTTTACAGTAAACTGCGACACCATCTTACTTGATTAAAACATCAAAGCTGAAGGTGAAAATTTCGATGTAACCATCACCAAGAAATTTCGCACCAACAATGTACCAAGGAGTTCCAGACCCAACATTACTTGCTATAATGGATGCCAAATATGCATCAACTAGAACAGAAAAGGCTGTTCCGAAGACGTTAATTGCCAATGAGTCCATGCTTGTTTAAATTGCAAGAAAATGAGCCACCCAGAACAAAGGTGCTTTCTCAACAAATCTTCATCTACAAAGCAACTAGACAGCCAAGTGCACAACCACAGCTCTAATAAATAGCATCTTTATAAAATAATAATAATAATAATAATAATATATATATAAAAAAAAAAAAAAAAAAAAAGGAGAAGAGTATAGAAATGAATGCATATCACTACCATTTTTTTAAAAAAAAAAAAAAAAAACAGTACAATATGTCATATATATATGAAGAAGAAAGAGAAATCATAACAATAGTTAACACCTACAAACATGTAAAGAAATATGTTAATCAATACACATAGTTAAACATGCGCAGATATACTCGATAATTATATAGACAAAAAAAAAATAGAAGAGATTGCGTGCACAAGAACAGTTCTCATTTGGACTTTATATATGTATATACATTTTTTTTTTTCGGTATTAAGATAACCTCTATAGCCTGGAAACTTTTTATTAAGTAGATATATAATATATTAGTTACAATGAGAGTATATATAGCCACACGTGCATCTTTTGAGTGCCTAATTTAAGTAGTCCGCCTGAAGGTTCTACACTATCTGCCGTACCTATACCCCAACTAGGGAGTACCCATTTAAACCCTCTGGTTACAACCACTCTACCTAACCAAGGTGTAACTCACTATTCAATGGTAGCTTTTGCGACATCTATAAATTTCGCACCCTACTTTAGGACTTACTAATCATTTTTAGATTTATCAATCCCTGTTTTAAGACTAACTAACCATACATGGCTAATCTATCCACGAGGTAAATCTAACAGAGTAGTCCATGTTCCACACATGTTTTTACCTGCATGTTCGGTAATTTCTTCCTAACTAATACCTGTTGTGCTGCCGTCACCGAGTTCATATCTCAAGCCAACCTTTGGGGTGCTGCCATAACCCGATCCGTATCTCAAGCCACAACCTTCCTAATTAGTTGCCCATTACGTACTCCTTGCCATTGTAAGGTTCCCAACAACCCCAGTACTTGCATTTAAAACCATCTCCTTACCTAGATTCTTTATCGGTCACTCCCTTACTTCTAGCCAGCAACCCGGATAGGTCGGTCTGCCCAGGCTTTAGGTGCCTGAAGAACACCCTCTCCTTGGTCTATACTTTTAGAGCGTATACCCTTTTCCTTCGGTGCGACAACTCGGCGGTTTAGCTGGTGTGTCCTCCGCCATAGGACCTGGTCGCTCGGTTTTCTGATCTTGGGCCCCGGTTCGAATTCAGCCCTCCTGTGGTACCGTTGAAGATCATTGCTACATCCCAACTCGGGACTTGCCAAACGGGTTTTCGGTTATTCCAGTTCCTCGAATTTATTGCGCCAAAGCTCCCATTACTAGATGGTGTGACTGAGATTACAGATTAAAACCTAACCAATAATTGACAACTGTTAACTATACGCAAATCTATTTTTCAAAATCATTGTCCGTGGGATTTGAACTCTAGACCTGCCACTTGGAAGGATGACAACTAACCAACTACACTAAGTCACCACACCTCTTATATATGTATATATATATATATAAACAAACATATATATATAAAATATATATAAAAAAAAAAAAAAACATAAGTAGCAGAAACCTTTAACAAAGACATACTACTAACCAGGGAATAAAATTCAAAGTCAAAATTTGATGCACAATGCGCACCAAATTTTAGATTCAATGTGCACAAAGTTTGATATAGTAGACAAGTCTAACTGTATAGTGCATATTATTTTAAATAATTATTAAAAAAATTGCATGTGCTTTGTGCACAGCATTATATTTTTTTGTGTGCAAAAAAATTTTTTGTGTGTGGAGCGCATATGCGCACATTAAATTTTATTCACTATCACTAACATTTACAAAATCGACATGCAGTTGAATGCACCTCAAGTAATCTAGCACATGTAGCACAATTCAAGCTACAGTATCTCAGAACATTACAATAGACAATACTCCATTACTCCAATCGGTCAATGAGACCATATTAACAGTACCCCACCAACTATTCCTCTAACCATAATTGAGCTACACCTATTATCACAACTAGACCCACAACAATTCAATATTCAGACACCAATAAACATCACAGTATTCTAATATCTAATAGCAGCCCACCTCAACCGGCCATTCATAGATTATCTGATTAACGGAATTAAATATGGCTTCAGATTAGGGCTCTGAAGTTTAAATTTGATAAGTTTGAGTTTGAGTTTGATTTGAAATCAAACCCAAACTCAAATATTGAATTTGCAAATTTTCAAACTCAAATCAAACTCAAACTTAATTGTAAGTTTGTCAAACTGTTTGAGTTTGAATAGTAAAATTTTTGAATTTGGAGATTTTTAGCTAAAACGTTTTCTTTATTATATAAACTTTTTTTCAACTTCCAATAAAGGTTGTAGAGGAGAGTCTTGTGATAAAAATGGCAGTTAAACTGTTAAAATCGGCCCAGTAGATCGTGATATATAAGTATTTTTGTCTTCACGATTATATATTTTCTTCTTTATATTGTTACAGAGTAAAGCCTTCTTAATTTACTCTATAACAACGACACGGCACAGGGAATCCTTTTGTAGGTATATGCGGTGTCCAAGAGGTAAGTATAGCTTCTTTTCTCTTTAAGAGACTATACTCTTCTCTACAGCAGTTCGTGGGAAAATACAATAACAATAATAACTTATTTGACACAAGAGAGAGATAAACCTTGCCTGTAGGAATTACCCTAGAGGGGAATATCTAAACAGTTTATAGTCGAAGAGACGTTTATTAAATATAAAGAATACAAGGCTATCCTTAGATATCTATCTCTAAAGAATCCTAAATATAGTTTACAAGAATAAGGAGAGAGGGTGTCTGTTGCTTATTCTAACTTGGGGAAATTAGTGGGGTTTATATATCTGTGAGCTAAGCAACTGAGCAACTAAGCGATTAAGCGACTAGACGACTAAGTGACTGAGCGACTAAGCGACTAAGCGACTATATAGTTAAGTGACTAAGCAACTAAGTGATTAGGCGACTAAGCGACTAAGCAACATGATAATTATATAAGATAATAATCTAAGATAATAATTAATAAATAATAAATAATAAAATAATAAACTAATAACTAATTCGTTCTATAACATTTCTGTCCCCTTTAAGAATTTACTCCGTAAATTCTATATCCTAACTAGACTTAATCAATTGAGTATAATCTTGATCTGGCAACTTGATAATACGAGTAGCAGTGGTATATCAAAGTTGAAAAATAATTTCTTTGGGCTGTTGCTTAAGGAGTTCATAAATTCTAAAAGCACCTTTTCAAGTATCCTTGGCTTTCCTTGTAGATTGGGCTTTCTGGATAAAGGTCTTAATTTCTAAAGAATTGTTGGACTTAGAAATTAATAATCCTAAATAGTAGTAGGCTTCAATCTTTTTATTGAGGCTAACTCGTGTCCGGCCTGGGCT